ACATACATTATCCAGTCTATGAACAATATATAGGATTGTTTGGGGAGTTTTAAATTTTTGCATAAGTAACATCATGCTGTTATTTTTTGTTCTACAACTTTTTTCCCACTCAGTGTGATGTTTGGAGATCCATCCCTGTTGATGAAATATACATCTCTTTTGTTCATTTGAACTTGCAGGACACTCTTCAATCTTATGCATGTATCCCTTGATTTATTTGTAATTTCTCCTGATGGATATTTGGGTTACATCTAATTATTTTCTCTGACAACAATGGTGCAATAATTCGCACCAATGCGCGTGCCTGCCAGTGTATATGAGAGTGCCCATTTCTCAAAATGTTAACAGTGGTTATCTATGAACAGTAACATTTCAAGTGGTTTTTATTTTCTTTTTTATACTTTCTGTCGTTGAATGTTTTTTTTCCCCGAGCAGTTATTGTTTCTATAACAAAAAGTAAGGCTTTCTGCTACCAAACAGAACCCGCTCTTTCTCTCATGCCACCATCCCAGGTGTCCACAACTCTCTCCTCTCTCCCACTGTGCCCTGCACGTACTGCTTTAGTTCTTTTTCTTTTCTTTAAGACAGAGTCTCACTCTGTCACCCAGGCTAGAGTGCAGTGGCGTCATCATAGCTTACAGCAAACTCCAACTCCCGGGCTCAAGCGATCCTCCTTCCTCAGCCTCCCAAATAGCTGGAACTACAGGTGTGCGCCACCACGCCTGGCTAATGTTTTCCATTTTTAGTAGAGACGGGGTCTCACTCTTGCTCACTTGGCCTTGAACTCCTGGCCTCAAGCAATCCTCCCTCCTCGGCCTCCCAGAGTGCTAGGATTACAGGCGTGAGCCACCTCGCCTGGCCTGCTTTAGTTCTTAAGTATACTCATTTGTGCATTTATTTTCTTGTATTCTCCTCAACTATTTAGCAAGCCCCCTGAGGGCAGGAAGTATATACCTCGCTCATCTCTGTCACTGTGAGGTTCGCACTGCCGGGCACAGAGCACACGGGAGTTGCAGATGGATGCTGCCTTCCCCGTCACACAAATGCGGGAAAGCTCGGAACATTTGCCCAGGTCGCACACCCACCCTTGGGACAGAAACCCAGGCTGAGGCTTCTGGCTTTGAGCTCAATGGGCTCAATGAGCCCTCTTGGGCTCCATGACTAGCCCAGCAGCACTCAGCAGTGAGTGTGGGAGGTACCAGAATTGGGGGGCCCTGGCTCTGCTCCCCATTTCAGGCTGGGCCAACTCCTTGGTTTGCTGCAGACCTTGTGCCTGGACAGGATTCAGTACGTCATTGTGGATGTCAGTTGCAAGTTCTGGGCAGCCTGCCTAATCTCTGGAGTCACTTAAAATCTCTGTCGTTACTGCAAAAGCGAATGTTTGGACAATTTATTCTGCGCTTCCTGTCAATAGAGACACCCTGGAGTCCTCATTTCAGCGTTGCGTTTCATTGTTTTAAGCCGAAATGCGCCGATGTGCTTCCAACACATTATCGCTGTAATCGCTCGCTTTTGCCGTGGAAATGATCGAGGAAATTGTGCCTTGATACAAGGGAAGGGTGACAAGGCCTTGCGGTGCTAAGCTAGGGCTCCACAATTACCGTTTGTAAAAGGGGAACTGTTATCAAAGAAGCCGCGGGAGAACATCTCGGGGCCACCGCTCGGAGCCGGAAAATTTGAAACATGTATTCGCAGACGCCCGTCTCGCCGTGAACCTCCCTGCATAATGCATGAGACTTGATTTAATGCCATTGTTAATTCTGGTGCTCACAATGGGGCACTCTTAAGGGAGCCATCATTTTTATTTCAGTTTTTTTTTTTTTTTTTCCTGGCAATAGCACTCCGAGGCCGTTTCAGGGTTGCTCTGAATCGTGCGCGCATAAGACGCCTTCCTGGGGAGGGGGGCAGGTGCCGGGCGAGGCCGGGGCTGGGGGGAGAGGCAGCCGACTGCCTTGGGGGCCCACTCGGCCGGGGCTGGGCTCCCTGTGCCTGGCTGTGCTTGCAGGGTTGCGTTTTAAGGAAAAATGAATGAATGATGAATGAATGAAAAGGAGGCGGCTTTGTAGCGGAATAGAAATGAAACAATTTCAATTTACAAGATCAGTTTTAATCAGTTTTCAAGATGCACAAAAGAATCGTTTTGTTCTAGGGTGGCCGGGACTGACAGGACGCTAGAAACAGCAAAGACGGACAACGTATGACGAAGGGGGCTGGAAGGTGGAGGAGGCGGACGTTGGACCGGACACCAGTGAGGAAGGAGCCGGGGTGAGAGAAGAGTCCAGACGGCACCACTGAGGCCAACAGGCCCCGGTGCCGTCTCTGAAAGCCCAGGGCTTGGGGCTGGGTCCCTTACTGTCCTGTCCCTGGATCCCTGGGACAGTGAGGACGTGAGTGTGGCCCTGCATCTGGGCGAGGGCAGGTGCCTCTCAAAGACATCCCGTGCGGAGGGCCGCCCGGGGCTCCAGCCATCTGCGCCCTCCAGGGACGTCTGCAAACCAGTCCCCCCTGCTGAGGGCGACTTGCAGCTGCAGAAGAGGCATGCCCAGTGGGCCTTATGGTGTTGAAGAGTGTGGGTGGCCGTCTGGGAGGAACAAAACCTACTTGAACTCGAAGATCTAGACGGTTCTGGTACAACCAGGAAATGTCCAAGAGACTGCATGGCGGCAGATTGATCTTCTGTGTCCACGTTGGGTCGGGTGCAGGCAGGAAACGGAGGCTCGCGGAGGTTAAACCTGCTCAGCGTCCCGGCACGTGCTGGAGCTGGTTCTAGCTCAGGCCTTGTGGTTTCTGAGCGGCGCCGTCAGCGGGAAGGGAGCCTGCCCCGCGCACAGATGGGAACACCAAGGCCCAGATGCCTCCCTGTGGCTCCCACAGGTCTGAGCCCAGCTCTGCCGCTCACTGGCTGGGTGACTTTGGGCACGTTCTCTTCTCTGGGTCCTCAGCTGGAGCTAGGAATGGGATTATCAGAGGACACCTAGACCTACTCCATGGCCCCGTGGGGAGAAACTTCATCAGCAGGAATAGTCCTCCCGGCCTCCCCACCACCCGCCGTGCCACAGGAGGAGGGAGTGTTCTGACGGGAGCATCTGGGGGGGGGGGCACGCGTGGCCCGCTGAGCCGTCCTCGGGAGCCAGCGTGTGCAGGGCCAGCGACTGGGGTGTGAGTCTGTCTGAAGCAGGGTGACCAGTTAGCAAAGGCCCTTGGCCACAGGTCAAGCCAGGTCTCCTGTCAGCTTTGGAGGGAGACATCTGACCCCCATCTGTGGGACTCCTGAGCTCAGGCAGGGAAGGGGGCTGTCATTTACTGGGGTTCCCTCAAGCCCCAACAAAGACTCCCTCCCCAGCTGGGCTGCCGCGAGGCTTACGAGGCGGGTGAGGCCATTCTGCACCCCCGGCACACGGCGGGGCCTCTGTGGATGTGGGGATGGTCGGCCCCCGCCAGCCGAGTTCCACAAGGGGGGCTCCGGGTCAGCCCCGGGAGCACTCACCCGATGCCCCCGGGCCGTCCTCTCCCCCAGAAGGAAGGAGGCTCAGTGAGCAGCCCCGGCAGAACTGGGCGCACACTCCCAGCGTCCTCGAGACTCCAGTCCCACCTCCTCTGTCCGGAAACAGCTTCAAGAACCTGTAATAGGGTCGGCGTCCCTAACAGCCCGGGGGCCAGGCCTTAGGGACTCTGCGCCAGCACCTGGGCCAGGAACCGGTGTGGAGGACGGCTGAGGAGCGGGCAGAGCGCCCTCCTGCCTGCAGGTCTTCGAGCGCCCTGAGTAGTCCCATGGGCCCTCCCTTAAAGACTGTGAACACGGCGGGGCGGAAAACGCCTGTGGTGACTCGGGGATGAGATTAACAGTGTGAAGTCGGGAGTGAAGGACGTGAGTGAGGAGCCTGCACCCCCCGCCCAAGGCCCAGAGCAGAATCCCGGGCCTGGCCGCCTGTCGCGGGTAACCCTAAGCATCACAGACGGGCACCTGCGGGCACTGTGCAGCGGGCTCGGCAGCCCACCCAGCACGGAGAGGCTGCCCACAGGTGTCCACAGTGGACTTCTGTCCTTTGCTCTCCAGCACCCTCCTCCCCGCAGCAGGTGCTTGGGGTGACAGCAGCACGTGACTCACGGCTAATCCTCCCTAGTGCCGCGTGATGCCCGCACGGTGTGTGCTTAGTCTAGGGAGCCACCCCTGCCCCACTGCCAGGCCTGGGTGGGGCTTCACCCCGGCCCCAGGGGTGGGACCCATCACTGAGGCCTAAGCCAATCAGAGCCTTTCCTGGCTGCAACGATTGGTCCAGGGTGGGCATGTGACTTAGGCTTGTCCAATAGGGGTGAGTCTGGAGACCTTTTGCTCAGAATGTGGAAGGAAGACATGGATCCTTCTCTACTGTATTTGAGGGGAACACAGGGCCCATTGTACAAGCCCAAAGGGTCTGCCCGAGACGTCCTAGAGCACTCGGGCAGGCTGCCTGCTTCATGCCCAATTCTCCACCTCCCCATATCCACCCGTTTCCCAATAACTGGCAGTGCCCTCCCCCACTGGGACCCGGGCTTGGCATGGGGATGCGCTGGCCACTGGATGAGGGTGTCCAGGGCGTCCAGGCTCGACCGCCACTCGCACCAGTTCTTGCACGTGCACCTCCGCCTCGCCCTGAGCCAGCGCCCACTAGAAGGACGTGAGACCTGCGGGAGCCCCAAGTCTCCCCAGCTGTCGGCCGGCCCAGCCCAGACACGAGCGAACCCCTCGAGCGGCAGAAAGAACCGCCCGGCAGGCGCACTGACTCGTGGGCAGTCGGAAGCAGCTGTTGCTTCCGGTTCTGGGTTCGGGTGGTCTGTTACACGGTTACACGGCAGCAGATGACTGGCACAAGCCCCGAGCCAGTAAGTTCCCATTTTCAGTCGAACCGTGTTGGGTTCCGATTCAAAGGAATCGTCCTGGCCGGGCGTGGAGGTGCACACCTGTAATCCCAGCACTCGGGGGTCTGAGGCAGGAGGATCGCTTGAGCCCGGGAGTCGGAGGCTGCAGCGAGCTACGACCGCGCCACCACACTCCAGCCTGGGCCACAGGTGGAGAGCGAGACCCTGTCTCAAATAACCGTCCTCACAGATGCGTCATCTCGTCACGGCCCACGGCTCAGGAGCAGTGGAGAAGGGCCCAAGGATCTGAAGCCTGGGATTTTCACCAGAAGGTTCCGAGTCTGCTTAATGCCCGGTCGTTTTCACAGGTGGCAAGTTTGTGACGCACGAGTGCACAGAGGAGCCAAGGTGCGTTTCCGACACTAGCGGGGTCTCCTGGCTGCCATCGGGGGACTGCGGGGAGGGACGGGTGTGGCCCGGCTGCCTGCCGCACACCCCCTGGCGGCGACGGGGCCGCCCTGCGCACCTGCTCCCGCCGCGCCGGGGGCCTCCGGGGCGACGAAGACCTTCTCGTAGTACTCGATCAGCAGTTCGGTGAACAGGTTCAGGGGCACGAGGGCACTCAGGGAGGACACGCCCTGGGACGGCCAGATGAGGTTCAGTCCAAAGACGCAGGCCAGGTTGGAGCTGTTCATTTTGTTGAAAATGCTCTCCCGGGACACCTGGAACAGGCCACACGCGGGACAAGGCCGGTGAGCCCCAAGGAAGGGCAGCAGCGGCCTGGCGTTCCCTCCCCTAAACCCCGGGAGGGACCCGTGTGGTGGGAAGAGCAGTGGACTGGGAGCCACCAGCCCGTACCACCTCCCCACTCGGGGCCTCAGTTTCCCTATCTGTAAAAGGAAGGGATTGGCCTCGATGCTCGGCCTCTGGGATGTATTTCCCCAACACCCCACTGCCGCCTCTGCTGCTACAGCAGACTCAGGAGTGGGGGTGGGGGGGAGCTCTAGCACAGCCAGCTCGAACCAGGCGACCTCTGACCTCCCTCCGCACTGTGGCTGGAGAACTGGGGGTGAGCAAGGCCCGCCAGCACGCAGGGGTCTCGGGAGGAGAGGTGACGGTGGAGAGAGCTTGCCGGAGGGGCTCCGTCCGTCTCAGAACGCAGCGCTCCGGGAGCCCGAGCGCCGCTCCGCGACTCACCGCGTGCAGGAAGCCCACGAGGTAGCTGAGCACCGCGTGGTTGTGCTCCGGGAGGCCCCGCAGGATCTGGCGGCAGCGGCTGACGCGCAGGCTGCTCTCCACACCTGCAACGGCACCCGCGCCTTCCTCAGCGGGGCCCGAGGGAGGGCGGCCCTCCCCCAGGAGGGGGGCACAGTGGCCAGCATCTCCCAGGAAGCCCGTGAAGCCCAATCGCCTGGCAAACAGGAATGTTCTAGACCAGCGGTGTTTGGGCAAACTACAGCCCACAGGTCAAATCCGGCCCGTCGCCCGCCTGTTTTTGTCATAAAGTTTTATTGGGACACAGCCACGTTCGTTCCTGTGCACCTTGTCTGCGGCTGCCCTTGGGTTGCGGCAACAGAGGCTGTGTGTGTGGCCCAGGGCGCCAAAATAGTGACTATCTGGCCCTGCGCTGGACTGACTATATTTACATGACGAGCTGCAGCAGCCTGAGAAACGAACGGCAGGTGCAGGAAGGACTCTCGGACCTGTGCCGTCCCGAGACGCCCCTGGCAGAGGGCCCTCCCTACACCCCGGGAAGGACTAGCCTCATCTCTGCAGATGGAGAGAAGACACCAAAAGGAATCTACAAGTAGGCCCTCAGTTTCCCCACTTCCCTGCCCTTGGGTCATGCATGCCCCTTTGTCCCGTTATGTTTTTCTGCGACTTTCCGCTCGTCAAACCTAGCGTTAACACGCCCGGGCTTAACCGTGTCTTCGGGTCCTCCTTAGCTCACGGAGGCTCCGCGTCCCGTAAAACTTACATTAAACGAGGCGGTATGTTTGTCTTTTGGTGATCGTCTTTCGTCAGTCCAAGTTACAGGGCCCCAGCCAGTGAACCCAAGGTGAGTAGAAGGAAAAGGGTTTTTCCCTCCCCTGTAGTTTGCAGTGACGAGGACGGGATGTCACTTGGCTGGGACACTGCGCTCAGTCTGGAGGCTGTGGCGGACACCCAGGACGCAGCTGGCCAGGGGTAGAAATTCTCACCGAAGCCAGCCCCTGGATGTCTGTCTGCAGGGCCCCAGACGACGAGGGGGTGGTCAAAGTCTTTTGTCTCTTCCCTTTCAGAATTTGTACTAGTGGATGGAAACCTTTGTGAGAATCGGTGCTCCAGCCTGTCACTGCTGTGAATTTGATTTTGAGTACTCCTTGTCGACCCTTTCTTTCTCGGCTCTGTCTCTCGTATCATTTGTCAAGAGGAGGAGAACTGGAGGATAAGATTCTCCTTCTGTCTCACTTTGTGTCCTGCGAACTTGCCTTTGTAGCCAATTTGGCTTTTGACTGCTGGTGTGGACAGGTTGTTGGCCAACTGTCAGGCTGCAGTCCCCGAGAATTTCTAGGTAGCGAGAAACGTGGGTTGTATCCCATCGCAACACACGGATCCTACCAACCGCTGCCCACTCGCAGGGGCCTGTCTAGGTCTGCCACCTTTAGGCTGTCTTTGGAGGAACTTTGGATGGGGGACCGCCTCTTTTGCACCCTGTTTAGGAAAACCTCTTGCATGCACGGCCAGCCATGAAAAGGTTTATTGGTTCGATTCACACTGGATTAGGTATTAACCTTTGGTTAGAAACAAAACAACAATAAAAAAACATGGTTAACCACTTCGGTGCCAGCGTCGACTATAGTCAACAGCCACAGATGAATGTGCACAGCGACTTTAGCCGAGAGCCGTGATATGACTTTTCTAATTTTTCATTTATCAAAATAAAATTGTGCACTCTGGGAGGCCGAGGCGGGCGGATTGCTTGAGGTCAGGAGTTCGAGACCAGCCTGAGCAAGAGCGAGACCCCGTCTCTACTATAAATAGAAAGAAATTAAGTGGCCAACTAATATATATGAAAAAATGAGCCGGGCATGGTGGTGCATGCCTGTAGTCCCAGCTACTCGGGAGGCTGAGGCAGGAGGATTGCTTGAGCCAGGAGTTTGAGGATGCTGTGAGCTAGGCTGACAGCACTCACTCTAGTTTGGGCAACAAAGCAAGACTCTGTCTCAAAAAATAAAAAAAATAAAATTGTGAACATTTAAAAATAACGTAATGAAAACATAGATGTATATGTTACCTATTCTGATTTACATTACAAGTAAAACTGCCTGTAAAGTGAAACAAGCTTTCAGTGCTTTCAAGCTTTCCTCATCACACAAGAGCAAAACGGACCCGTCGTCCATGCACGGCACAGACTGCCGCGCGGACCGTGAGTGCGGCTGTGGGCGAGGTCCCGTGGCCGGTGAGTGCCGCACCGAAGTGGTTACAGGAAACAAACGGCAAATGAAAGAATCTTAAGGGTCTTCCCCTGAAATGTTAACAAAAAGCTTTCACCCTTAACAGATAACCTGAATGTGTATGAAACTGTGTATGAAAAGGTATAGGATCTGTGTGTCTGTATGTTATATCTGTGTCTATGTATGTCGTATTTTTCTACTTCTCAACAGTTTTACCCAATTTATAAAATCCCTTAAAGTCCTATTCAGATTTGATTAGAGATATATGAGCACTTATATTAAACACCCCAGCCGGGAGCAGTGGCCCACGCCTGTAATCCTAGTATTCTGGGAGGCTGAAGCGGAAGGATTGCTCAAGGTCAGGAGTTCAAAACCAGCCGGAGCAAGGGTGAGAGCCTGTCTCTACTAAAAATAGAAAGAAATTAATTGGCCAACTAAAAATATATAGAAAAGATTAGCTGGGCATGGTGGCGCATGCCTGTAGTCCCAGCTACTTGGGAGGCTGAGGCAGGAGGATCGCTTGAGTCCAGGAGTGTGAGGTTGCTGTGAGCTAGGCTGACGCCAGGGCACACACTCTAGCCTGGGCAACAAAGTGAGACTCTGTCTCAAAAATAAATATCCCTAAAACTAACTCAAATGTAGTTTTCAAGTTCATGTGACTTGAGTAAATCTTTGATTTTTAGTAAATCTTAAGATTGGTCTGATACTGTTTAATAAAAACAGCTGTCTTAAGAGCCATCATGTTAACCACTTTGGCTCACCGGCCGCGACACCTTGCCCACAGCCGCACTCACAGTCCGCACGATAGTCTGTGCTGTGCATTGACCACAAATCGGTTTTGCTCTTGTGTGATGAGGAAAGCTTTAAAGCACTGAAAGCTTGTTTTACTTTATAGCTTTAGGAAAATAACTATAAGAACTCCTACTAAGGACTTGTTAAAAGGTCACAGATTTGTAGTAACTTATTAGCTGAATGTATACACTGCAACTGCAGAGATAAAAGCTGTAACAGTAAAAGCTTTTGGCTGTTGACTAAAGTCGACGCTTGGCTCTGCGCCTTCGTATCACGGCTGTTGGCTAACGTCGCTGTGCGCGTTCACCTGTGGCTGTCGACTATAGTCGACGCTCGTACCGAAGTGGTTAAAGGAATTGCCCTAAGAGGGGTCCCTGGCCTATCTGTCTGTCACGGGGTTTTGGCTGGAACAAACAGCAAGTTCTGCTAGGCTGGAGTCATCATCCTTCTGGAAGCTTCTCTAGACGGAGCCTGGCACATGGGGGTGGGGGAGGGCACTGTCTATCTTGCCTGCCCGCCCACCCCTGCCCGGGCCAGGCTACTGCCGGCTGTGGAGCAGACAGCCTCCCGTCTCCTCCCAACACCTGCCTCCGTGCGAACGCTCGGATTTGTCTCCGCGAGGCCCAGCGGGCTCCAAAGCGCCCCCGTCATCCTATCCGCAAGCCAAAGTAAGTCAGCCCCAGCATCCGGACCATCTGGTCGGAGGGAGGGTCACTCGGCCCATCCCAGAGAGGGCCCGGCCCTGGGCAGGTGCGTGAGTCTGACGGTGTGATGGAAACCAACCTCGAGCCCTCCCCAGGGGTCTCAGGGGACTCAAAGCCCCAATCCTCTTGCCATGTCATTAATCCTCAACCATCAGGGACCCCGAGAATAACAAGGATATCCCTGCCCTCGAGAAGTTCCACAGTTCAGAGGTCACCTCCCAGGGCAAAGGCCTCTGGGTGCAGGGGTTCCCGACCACACGGCAGGAAGAAACTTCTCAAGATGTTTCCCGCCCAGCCCAACGGCAGGCTCCCAACCCTCCGGCTCCCAGTGCTCGGGACAGCCCCGTTAGAAAGTGCCAGTGTTTGGTTACAGAGACCTGAGCAGACTTAGGAGGCATCGCCCGCCTCATGCTAAGTCATGCTAATTCTCCACTCACCCGACTCGGGCATAACAAAGTTGATACCTGCAGCCAAGAACATTTGTACCCCTATAAAAATTTTTTTTAAATTCCCCGATTCTTTTGAGATGCCGTTGTCCTTACGAGTAATCTGTGCCACGGCCACACTGGGTGTTTGATGGATGGCGGTGCCTGCCCCGCACCTGCTCAGTTACGTACTTGGCGTTCTACGATAAGCTGGGAACATGCCAGGGCGCCTTCTCTAGGTGAGAGCGCTGAGAGGCTGGGGGCTCCTCCAGAGCAGCATAGGGAGGGGTCCAGGCAGGACTCCAGCCATGACAACATGCCCCAAGGCCAGCGCCGCCCTCCACCACCCGGCCTTGCTGCCCAGCTGCCCCCGAGAGACCATCCAGGACTCCCCCAACCCCCTCCCAGTGCGGCCTGGCTGTGCGAGGTGGGGGCAGCCCTAAAAGGACCCCCCCTCTTGCCCCACAGTGCCAGGTAGCAACAGGATGATGCTGGGTAGATGCCACCTGCCCCTGGCCTGGGGCCAGCAACTGAGGCCCCCCACCCCCACCCCGGCAGGCACCCACTGGTGATCCCGAGGATCTGCTCGTAGGCCCCCCACCCCCACCAGCAGGCACCCACTGGTAATCCCGAGGATCTGCTCGTAGGCCCCCCACCCCCACCGGCAGGCACCCACTGGTAATCCCGAGGATCTGCTCGTAGGCCTCGAAGGTCAGCAGCGGCTGGGGCAGCTCTCGCAGGAAGGTCTTCAGGATCACAGCGGGGACGTGGATGTCCCCGTAGTCGTCAAAGTTCACGGGCTTCCCTGCACAAGAACACGGCACGGTGAGGTCGGGCTCCGGCCTGGGATCGAGGCTGCAAAACAGGCCTCCATGGCTAGAGAGCCCCTGACGCTGGAGCCACCTGTCCTGGGGATGACTCTGTCCCCACCTGGAAATGGGGTGCTGTGGCCCTGCCAGACACCCCACCCCCAGCTACACGCCGGGCCCTCGCTGCCTGCTCCAGGCACCCACGGCCGAGGCTGCGGCGGGCAGTCGCCTTCTCTGCGGAGTGTTCCTAGCTGGGACGTAGGGTCAGGGCTTGGCCGTCACCGTCCCAGTGCCCGGCACAGACGCTGCGGCCGGTGGGCCTGGGATGGGATGGCTAACGAGTGCCCGAGCTCAGCACCGCACAGCCCTGACGCTCGGGGAGGGCCACCGGGGGCAGACCTTGTCGGCGAGGCACAGCTGTTAGCACCAGGTGCCGTGTCCTCGGCTCAAGTGCCGTCCCCTCCCGCGGTCACATGCGGGCAGTTAAGCTGTGCTGGCCGGCAGGGGCCGCCTACTGAGGACTCCAGGAAACAGCGCAGGGAGTTCCCCGAGACCACCCGTCACCTGGGCTGGGCGGAGACACCCTACGGGCAGATGCCATCGCGCAGCCACCTCGTCCCAGCGGGCACTGGGTCTGGGCGCGGGCCCCCACTCTAGACGACGGGGCACACCCTAGCGGCTCCCAGGCGGCAAGGGGCCGGGCTCCGAGGGCCACGCTCACCTTGGTTGTACAGCCTCTGGATCTCGCGGACCGTCGCCACGCTGGCCGACCTCCGGAACAGGCCCTCGGTGCGGAGTCCTGCAGGGAGAAGAGCCTCCAGGCTTCTCACGGGGCCCAGCGCGTTGGGCTTCTAGAAGGTTCTATCGCTCCCCCTACCCACAGCTGTGCAGGAGGGAACGCTGTGCCGCCCCCATTGCTCGCCTTCACCCCTCAGAGCTCCATATCCCCAGCCCACCTGATCCCCAGAGAGGGACTCCGCCTCCCCCCAGCTGTGTGACCTTGGAGAAAAGACTCAGCCTCCCTGAGCCCCGCTGCCTCATCCGTCCACAGAGCAGGGCCACCGGCTCCTGTCTCCAGGGGCTGCAGAGAGGACGGGACAGTGGCACCCAGGAGGCCGCCAGACACGCCGCTCCCCTCCAGAGCCCATCGTTGCGCCGTCCAGCACGGCAGCCACTAGCTGCATGTGGGATTCATGTTTACATTTAATTGAAATGAAAATTCCATGCACTCAGTGGCACAAGTCACACAGGACGTGCCCGGTGGGGCTGCCGCCATGGGGGCAGCGGCCGCCATTCTGGACGGGGCAGGGAGAAGTTCCGGTCCTGCGGGGTTGATCGTGTCAGGGCAGCAAGCATGCCTCCACCGTCAGCCTTGCAGAGGGTTTCACACCCGTAACTGGCTCCTGAAAGCCGAGACTCACGTTTCTCTAAGCTGGGGGGTGGGAGGGTCTCTGCGCCTGCACGGCCCCTGCCCCATCCAAGCCCCATCCAAGCCCCGGTCATCTCTCCGGGTCCCCAGACCCCTTTCGCCCTCCCTACTCTCCTCTCTAAAGCTGAGTGAGCTCCAGGTCCAACCAGCCACACCCCTGCATTGAGCCCTCCAGGGGCTGCCACCTGTCACAGGATAGAGCTTCCCGTGGTTGTCATCACAGCCCCGTGCCAGCTGGCCGCTGTCTCACTCCTGCCCACTGCCACTGCCCCCGCGTCCTCCCAGGCCTGGCCTGGCCTGTCCTCCTCCCTGTGCCTGGTGGCTGGCCCCTCTCGTCTTTGTTGAGTGACCGTCATAGGCAGAATTCTGAGACGGCTCCCAGATTCCTGGCCCCTGGGGGCCAGGGGGACACATACCTGGAGTCTCCTAGGTATGCGAACACTAACCTAGGTGCTGCCGTGAAGGGGCTTTGCACTCGCGATTCAGGTCTAAGCCAGCTGGCCTAAAGATACAGAGATCTTGGGTGGGCCTGGCCTGAGCAGGTGAGCTTTCAAAGGGCCCAGGCTGGTCCAGGGGACAGAGATTGGCTGCACAGGGCAGGGAGTCATGGGAGCCGTGCTCTGTTGGTGGCAGGGGATGGGGGGACGTGGCCTCTGGCTGCCGAGCGATAGCCCTGGCTGACAGCCTGGAGGAAGCAGGCCCTCAAAGCTGCAGCAGCAAAGCGCAGGACGGGCCAGCGGGCCCGCACCTGGAGCCCTTGGAGGGAGCCCGCCTGGCGGCACCGTAGGCTCCGCCCCAGACCCTGAGCAGAACCCAGCCCTGGTGCGCCCGCCGGACTGCTGACCTGTGCAAACGGAGATAAGAAGTCCACCTCGTTTTCAGCTGCTAAATTTGTGCTACTTCGTTACATAGCCGACAAAACGGATACAGTGACCTTCCACCCGTGGGTCAAAACTTGGGTCTCCCTGGCGTCTGTGGCCAGCTTCTCTCTGGCCATGTGAGACACGTGTTGTCACGGGTATAGCTTCACGGAGAACGTGATGGGGAAAATCTCTCGGGACCAGAGCATGAGTGCCCAGAAGACAGGGACTGGGCCTCGGCCAGGGCTGGGTGCCAGGGTGTGTGCCCAGTGAATAAATGTCTAGTTCATGCATTCATTCAACAAACACATACTGAGTTCCTACTCTGGGCTGGTTTGTTTTGTTTTTAACAAATCGTGTCGACAGTGGCTCATGCCTGTAATCCTAGCACTCTGGGAGGCTGAGGCGGGAGGATCGTTCAACATCAGGAGTTTGAAACTACCCTGAGCAAGAGCGAGACCCCATTTCTACTAAAAATACAAAGAAATTACTTGGCCAACTAAAAATATATAGAAAAAAATTAGCCGGGAATGGTGGTGAATGCCTGTGGTCCCAGCTACTCGGGAGGCTGAGACAGGAGGATCGCTTGAGCCCAGGAGTTGGAGGTTGCTGTGAGCTAGGCTGACGCCACGGTACTCTAGCCCGGGCAACAGAAGTGAGACTCTTTTTAAACATGGGCTTGCTTTTGGGCAGAAAAAAAAAAAAGAAAAAAAAAGAAAAAAATATGTAAAAATAAAAAAGAAATGAGACTTTGTCTCAATAAAATAAATAAATTGTGGAGAGACTCCCTCGCCCAGTGTCTGGCTTCCAGTCTTTAGGCAGCCCCTGAAATACACACAGAATGGGAACCCTGCCCATGGTGGCAGGTCACAGTGGACACGGCTCAACACGACAATCACAGACCCCCAGCCGGTCAGGACGCGCCAGCCCTGGGCAGGCAGGCGGTTCCCACACCCAACTGACGCCCGCACGGCACCTGCAGGGACAGGCCAGCCGCCCCTGGTCCCCACCCCTCCCATCAGAGTACAAGCAGCCTCCACGCACCTTCTCTGTGGCCCTGAGTTCTGACCTGGGCCTCCTGGAGAGGCCACAGAGCTCAGCCACCCAACCGGCCAGGGCGCCCGCGAGCCGAAGCTCACCACGCCTGCGGAGCTGCCACTGAGGCAGCTTCCCACGGGCCAGCGCCCTGTGAAGTGCTTTGCACACGTCACCTCATTCAGGCTTTGCAACCGCCCTGTGGGTCAAGTACTGTTATTAACCCCACGGGACAGGTGCGGGAAGGAGGCCCAGAGAGGGCAGGAACTGGCCCAGGGTCACACAGCTAGCACATGGCAGCGCCGGGATTCAAACCCGGACCACCTGAGGCCAGAGCTCCACCTGGCCTTCTTGGCCACACCGCCTGGGCAGATTCCAGCTCCTCCAAGTCCCCGGCCTGTGTGCGGGCACTCAGGGTCCGTGACGGACCTCGCAGGGAGGGACGCCCAGCAGCCTCAGGTCCCTGGCTGGAGCCGGCTCGCGCTCACCTTTCTCTCTCAGGTACGTCACCGTGGACCTCAGCACGGGGGGGATGAGTTCGCCGCGATTCTTGTCTTTGAGGCTGAGGGGAGAAAGAAAGCAAGTTTTACCTGGGCGTGCTGAGCACGACAAGCACAGGCTCTGCTCCTCCCACGCCCTGGGAAAACACAGGACCAGGGAGCTGTCCCGGGAGAGAGGGACGCAGCCTCAGCCCTCAGGAACTAGGAAGTCTGGTGGCCAAAAGAGAGGCCAAAATAATAAACAATAGTGTAGCATCTGAGAACTCCATCAGAGGGATGGAGAGAAGACCAGGGGGTTGGGGAGGCTTCTCTAGGGGGGAACTTCAGAGCTGGGTTTTGAGGGATGAATAGGAGCCTGCCAGAGGACAAAAGAGAGAAGGGCATTCCAAACACGGAAACACACAGGGGAAGGTTTGGCCGTGCGAGCAGAACCAGGAGCTCTGGGCTGGATGCTGATTCAACTGAAAAACATACTTGTAAAAACCCAGTATGGCACCTTTAGACAGGTTGACACCCCGTCTCTTACTGTGCTATTTTCAAGCAGAAATTCAGGTAAAGAAACTTTAGCTCCTACTCAACATGTTTTTTCTCTTTCCTCGTCGGAATTTTCTCTCCTTACAGCAGCACATTTGGGAGACCGTGCTGGAGACGGCAAGTGGCTCTGAAGTCACACACACCTGCCTTAAGTCCTGCTCTGCCACTTTCTAGCTGAAAGGAACGTGTGTTTTGCTCTTCTCAGGGAGCGTGTCCCTCCAATGTCCCGTCTCCTTTCTCTCAGGAGTCACGGTGCTATGCTGTCGTCCAACGTCTGAAAAACTTTTGCTGCTTTGTGTTCGTAACTCATATTTGGTTAAATCAAACTGGTTGATTTGGTTGTGCTGTTCAAGTGTTCTACAGACCACTGATCTTCTGTCTACCTGTTCCATTAATATCAATGCTTTAGAGAAGTTATTCAAGTCTCCTATTAAAGCCGCGTGCTTGTTTATTTCTTCTTTCAATTCTACCAGCTTTTTCTTCATGTATTTTAAATTTATGTTACTAGTGCATAAATTTAAAGGAGTGTCATGTCTTCCTTAACGTTATGAAATGTCTCTCGGTACCTGGTCTCGTTCCTCGTTCCGAAGTCTACTTTGTCAGATATTAATACAGCTGCTCCAGTCTCCTTTTGCTTGGTGGCTCTGTGGCGTAGCTTTTTCTATTCTTTTACCTTATAGTATCTCTTATATTTTCATATTTTAAACATCAGTAATACCTTCCTTTTTAAAATCCAACCTGAGAATCTCTGTCTTTTAATTGGAATGTTTAGGCCACTTAGATTTAATATAATTACCAACATGGCCAAGTTTAAGTCTACCATCTTGCTATTTGTTCTTTGTTTCCTTTTTCTTCTTTTCTTGACTTTGTTTTGCTGGTTAATATTTTTTAGGATTCCATTTTATGCCCCTATTAATATATTAGATGTATTTTTTTTATTTGTGATGGCCCTAGTTTTACATTACACATATTTAATGTAATATAGTCTACTTTAAAATGATATTATACTTTACTTATAAAAGCCTCATGACGGTATATTTCCATTCCCTATCCCATCCTTTGTGTTAAGCCATATATAATACTCCAACATGTTTTAAGCCTCATACTACTTTATTATTTTTGCTTAAAAAGTCAACTTACTTTCAAAGATACTCTTAAAATGAGAAAATAAATTTATTTTCTATTTACTCATATATTTACCATTTCCAGCATTCTTCATTCCTTTGTGAGGATCCAACTTTCCACTTGGCATGACCTTTCCTCATTTCTCTCATAGTGTAGGTGTGCTGAAAATAAATTCTCTCAGCTTTTGTTCATTTCAAAGTTTTTACTTGACATTCGTTTTTGAAACATTTTTGCTGGGCATATAATTTTGGATTGAGAAATTTAGATTTTTTTTCTAATACTTAAAAGAGATATTATTCTAATAACATGTGGTTTCTGCCTTTCCAGTGAGAAATTCTATAACTCTGATCTTGGTTCTTCTATGTGTAGTGCCTTTTTTCTCTATTCTAAAAATTTTTTGTCACTAATATTAAGAAATTTGATTATGATATGCCTTGGCATATATAGCTTTCTTCACATTCTTTATGCTAGTGGTTCATTGACATCATTAGATCTGTGAGTTTATTGTTTCCATCAAATTTAGAATTTTTTTTTTTTTTTTAAAGACTAGTCAAGTGCAGTAGTGAGGATAAATTTAGAAAAAAATTTGGCCATTATTTTTTCAAATACTTGTCTGCCTTCTCCTCCTTTCTTGGACTCCCAATTATATAAGGCTATTTAATATCGTGCCACAGGTTGGTCTCTGTGTGTTTCATTTTGGATAATTTCTATGGCTAGGTCCCTCAGGTTCACTAATATTTTCTTTTGTAATATCTAATCTGCTGTTAATGCTATCTAGTGTACTTTTCATTTCAAAAATTATACTTTTCATCTGTAGATGTTCATTTGGTTTCTTTTTAAAATGTCTCTTCATCAGGTCCATGTTTCTAGTTTCTTGAACACACAGACCACCTTCATAACTGCCGTTTTAACGTCCTTGTTTGCTGATCACATCATCCTGGTCATTTCTGGGTCTGTTTCTACAGACTGATTTTTCTCCTGGCCCTGAGATCACGTTTTCCTGCTGCTGTGCATGCCTTCTAAGTTTTCTTTGGGAATTTTACACAGTTGGTGGCTGGATTTTACTGCATTTCTTCTTCCATTAAGTCATTCAGAAACAGGCATATTCCTCCAAGGACTGCTTTTGGTTTTGCTGGGGAGAATCTGGAACAGTCTTTAGCTCAGGGTTAAGTTAGCTCCCCACTAAGGCGACACCCCTGTGAGAGGCTCCATCTGACGCCCTGACTGGTACGAAGTCCTTGCACTTGACAGAGGGGACCGTTCCCAGCCCTGTGTGAACCCTAATGACTCTCTGGGCTGCTGCTTTTCCTTTCCTCTCCCCCGAGAACTGTATGAACAGATCAGCATCAGCCAGAGGCTTGAGGGGAACCTGCTGCAGACCTCGGAGTTCCCCCTCTCTGGAACTCTGCCCCACAAGCATTGGCCACCGTGGCCTCCTTAAACTCCAAACTTTATCCCTTAATTCTGCAAGAGAGCCGGAGTCTGCAGGGCAGCCTCTTCCCTGCTCTGCAGCCTGGGGAGCTAGCGCAACGGCAGGGCTCCCTCTGTCTCCTTCCTCCCGGGAGTCGCAGGGCTCTGCTGCTGCCCAATGCCTACAGACTCTTTGCTTCCCTGGTTGAAGGCAGAACGGCCAATCTGTTCCCTGTGACTCCACCGGGGCAAGAAGCAGGAGTCGCCGATTCACTGTCGAAGGGTTTCTGGAGGCAGAGAGGCAGGCTCGTGGCTGGTCACCGCCCCTGCTCCCCTCCGGCCTTCCTGGGTCTCACTCTGCCCCAGCGCCGAGTGGGCGCCTCGGACATGGGGATCGGAAAGGGGAGGCAGGTTCAACTCCCCCTTCAATTCTCCGACCCAGGGGTGGACTCCAGCCTCTTCCCTCGGCTCCCCGAGTACAGCCGAAGTTCAGCTCTTCCCATCTTTACTGGTGAAGCCGACCGCCCGACACAAGCAACGTGGTTCCGCTTGATTCCACCGGGTCCTGGGACATGCGGGCAAGACAGCCAGTGACCCCCCTGCCTCAGAGACAGAGGAAGGGTCCTGTGCCTGCCCACAGCAGCACACACAAATCCTATCTGGGGTCCAGAGTGTTCTATTTGACCTCCCCGGCCTCATTCGCGTTAAACTTGACACGAGAACTTGGACTGAAACAGCCCTAAGGTGCTGCTGCTTTTCTCTTTTGTCGCAAGAGCTCCTGACATGCCCTGGCCTCACCAACCTCCTCACCAGCCCCAGCTCAGAGCCTCCATAGAACCCCTGGGGGCCCCCAAGGTCGCCGGGCCAGCCCCCCGCCTGCCAGGGCCAGCCCTCCCTCCTTGCAGGTGATGACTCAACTGTGTTTACCTGCAACACACTGACCAGGCCTGGGCCCCGGGGGCTTTAGGGTTAGGGTTAGCTTTGGGGATGTTCCTCTCACCTTCAGCCCTACCCACCCCCTTACAGGAGGAGGCTGGGGGTCCCTACGGGGGAGGCACTGAGCACAAGAGAGGGTGCCTTCTAGGAGGTGAGGGAGGGTCTGATGGGGGAGAAGGAGGTGCCCCCTTCCCACCTGGAGCCTCTAGGTTCTGGGGCAGGAGGCACTAGCACTGAGGTGTGGCTGTGGCCACACGAACAAAGGGTTGTTTGTTACGCAGCACAACTAGCGAGAGCTGACTGATACATACCGGCTTCAGGCTCTGCGAAGCACGTGAGAGCGATTCCACGATAACCAAAAGCCCCCAAAATTGGTCCCGTTCTTTGATCCCGTAAACCCACAGCTGGGAATTCACCCCCAGCCCTCGCAGGACCTCTGTGCCGGGGCCCCCGGCTGCCCGTGAGCAGCACAGCCACTAGGATGACGTCGGGCTGGGGAGATGCCACGTGCGGTGCACTGGCCCACGGTCCCCACTGAGCCCAGAAGGCGCCAGGAACAAGAGCCGGCGTCTAGGGCCCTCGCTGGCCACCAGCCAGACACCACCGACCGACCCACCTCCGCCAACCCCGCCACCCAGGGCGAATGTGCCCGGCCGAGCTCTGCCCACATTCCAGATCCACGAAACTCACGGGACACGTAACGTGGCGGCTGTTTGACACTGCCGAGTGCTGGGGAATTTGGGAGGCGGTGACAGATCACGGGAAGACTCGGTCGTGACGGACGGGGCCAGACTCACGCCGCCAGTCTGAGCGTGGACCCTCGCTCTAGCCGTCTGCTACGGATATGTCATCCCCAAATTTCATCAGCCCGAATCAGAGATCAGACGAGGGTACTGGGAGAGGCCGCGTGACCGGCGCGGGTCCCCCGGCAGGAGGGGCACTGCTGGGAGGCAGGCGCGGCCCCGACTTCAATCCCTGCTCTTTCTGCAGCCGCCCACGGCCGCCTGGGCACGTCTCTACGCTGCGTGATTTATCGGGGGGACGTGGCACCAAGTGT